AAAGAAAGAAAGAAAGAAAGAAAGAAAGAAAGAAAGAAAGAAAGAAAGAAAGAAAGAAAGAAAGAAAGAAAGAAAGAAAGAAAGAAAGAAAGGTTAGGTACATACATTATGGTGTGAAAGAACCAGAAATAAACCCAGAGGGCAAGGAACCAAAAAGGCCCAAAATAGCTAAGGAACAGTGAGAGGAGGAAGAGTGGGAGTCTAAGGGGTGAGTGAGCATCCCAAACCCCCAGGACCCATGGTGAGGACCCTGGAATGTCTTCCACACACAGCGGGAAGCAAGGACTCTTCCACTTCCCAGGGGAGAGAATAGTGAGTTGGACTGGAGAACAGACTCAGACAAACCCTGGTTCTGACATCCCTGGTTCTGATTCCGGCTTTCCCATCTCCTCCTCCTGAGTGCCTCCAGCTCTTTGTCTCCCCGTGGGGGTTAAACCGTGCTTCTGGAAAGGCTGCTTTGATGTCTCAGTGCACCCTGGGAAAAGCCCACGGCTCAGGCCCTCCCAAAGATGAATTCACGGCAACACCACAGTGATAAAGGGAGTGTACTGTGCTCCCTCGGTATCAACAGGAAATTGGTTTTAAGACACACATATTCTAAAATCCATGGTCCTTTATAGAAAATGGCATAGGGGGCTGGAGAGACAGCTCAATTGGTAAAGTGTTTGCTCTGCAAGATGAATCCCTGATTTGGGGTTTCCAGCACTCACGTGAAAAGCCAAGTGAGCACACATCTGTTATCCCAGCGCTGGGGGGCGTGGTGGAGCCAGGTGAATACTGAGAGCTCACTAACTAGCCAGCCTAGACGAATTAGTGAGCTACAGGTTTAGTGACAGAGTCTGTCTTTAAAAGTGAGGCAGAGGACAAAGCTCAGGGACTGTGAGGAGACAGAAGGACTGTGAGATTCTGAGGTCAGGAAGGACTGGAGAGAAACAGTGTCTTCTGGACTTGACAGGACAGCTGCATGGATGTACTCACAGCAGCCGTGGTTGCCTGCACAAGACCTGTGCAAGATCAGTCTAGTCGACACTCCAGGATGGAAGGGGAGGGGTTCATAAGTCCTCACCCCTAGCCGAGGAGCTACTGACAGTTGGTGGCTTCTGGGGTAACAGAATGGCCTCTGGAAGTTCAATCATGTTCTAATAGTTGACTCCACACTCAGGAGTCTATGCACACCACAAATTGGACTCAGTGGGTTTAAAAAAAAAAAAAGACACTAAGTTGGGAGGGTTGAGGTAGAAAGAAGCTGGGGGAGGAGCAGGGGGTTAAATATAATCAAAATATACTGTACACATGTATGAAAATGCTGTATGTTAAAAAAAATAAGGTAGAAAGCAATTGAGAAAGACATCTTGACATCAACCTCCGGCCTCTACACACCTGTGCACATACATGTGAACACATTCACACACACAAGCAGGTATAGTACATACACCATACACAGGGTTGGGGATTTAGCTCAGTGGTAGAGCGCTTGCCTAGCAAGCGCAAGGCCCTGGGTTCGATCCTCAGCTCAAGAAAAAAAAAAAAAAAAAAAAAAACCATACACAGCTGCAAAAAAACATAAAATAAAATAAAAATTTAAAAGAAAACAGCATAGTATTGGCTTGTGCTGCACAAATCCTCTTGCATGGGTTAAATCACCTTAGGTCAAGTGTGGTGCCTCACAGAACATCACACTGTGTAGTCGTTGGACTTATGGTGACATGAAAAACATGGCCACTGCTCTCGGCACCATTTCTTAAAATATTTCTGATCTGCTGTTGGTTCGCTCTACGGATGTGAAAGGCCAGCTCTGTTTCTGAACTATTTATTGCTCTAGGTCAAGAATGACTAAATCTGGCCCACTCCCTGTTTTGTATTATTCACAAGAACAGTTTTAACACTGTTATCTTATCTATTCATCACATTTACTTGTTGATTTTGTATATGCGTTTGTGCCACAGTGTGTGTGTGTGTGTGTGTGTGTGTGTGTGTGTGTGTGTGTGTGTAGGTCAGAGGACGACTCACAAAAACAGTCAATTTTCTTCTTCCACCATGGGAGCTCCAGGGATCAAGCCTCCCCAGAAAGTTCACTGCTGAACCATCTCACTGGCCCCAAATGTTATTTTTAGATCAAATGAAAAACTGTATTTGATGATTTATGAATGTTTTTGTAAATAAAAAAGAGGGGAAAGGAGCCAGCAAAGAAACTTGGTAGGATGGTCTTAAGCACATTCAAGGGTAACAAAGGCCCTTATGATGTTTCCTACATTAGACCCAGCTGTGACAGTTGTTCTCTGTAACATTCAAGAGGTTTTCTCGGTTGTGATGTCAGCTCTAACGTCCTAGCATTCTGGGACCCTTTATGGTAACAGCAGAGGATGACTTCAGACGCTGCTGACTGTCAGGCTGATGACATGGCAGATCTCTAATGCTGGCACCCTCTATGCAAACCCTGAGCCGTGACTATAAATAGAAGTCAGCGTCATCAGGAAGCACTCCCCTGGCTGAGGTCATCTTCCCCAGCAATGTCACAGCAGGCCCAGGCAAGTGCTGGGACAGGAGAGCATGGAGTAGGACTCGAGAGGGAAGCCAGAGCATGGAGTGCAGAACGTCTGTGGAAAAGACCAACCTGGAGCGTCCAGACATACTGGGTGTTATGATTTGGATCTGAAACATCTCCCACCAGATCATGCTTTCAATGCTTGTCGCCCAGCTGGTGCCCTTTGTTATGGGGGACTGTGGAGCTTTTAGGAGGTGGAGCCTAACTGGCAGAAAGAGGTCGCTAGGGTAGGCATTTGAAGGTTATTCTCACCCCTGGGTCTAACTTGACTATGTTTCCTGATCCATTATTATATGAGCAGCCTTTGCCAAATGCCCTCATTGCCATGAACTCTAACACACACACACACACACACACACACACACACACACACACACACACGATGAGCCCCTGAAACCAGGAGTTGTTTCTGTCAGCTATTGGGGTCACAGTGATGTGAAAGTAATTAATGCAGTGGGCACCACGGACCAGGCTGCCCCTGGGCACCAGGGATTGCTTTAGGCTCTTATGTGAATCCCTTCATATGGCCCCTTATAGTCAACATTGTTAAGTAATGGTTACTATCATCTCTGCTTAATAGAGGACAAGGAGGAGCAGAGAGGTAACTTACCCAGAGCAGTACAACTAGTGATTTCATTCCAAATTTGGGGAGAGAGTGCTTGAATTTGGCCTCTGTGCTTTCCTGTATGTATGTGCTAACCCAGGGAATAAGCAAAAACTGGAGGAATTTAGCAACAATGTTGAGAGCCCTAGGCATGGAAAGGTTCTGTGTATAAGGCACTTATTATGCAGTGATCTATTTGCTGCTTTCCTACAGTCATATGTAGCCTGCCATTCTGGCCCATCTGCATGTACCATGAGTGCCCCACAAACACCAACATCCACAAACAGTGTGGTCTCACAGTACACACTGAGCACATTTATGTGGCCTCTAGATGGAACTCCCAGCCCAGAAAGCTCAGGCCCTCTCCAGCTCCTGATAAGTACTATTGCACCAGCTCATCTTTTCCACTTAAAACCCAGCTATCTTAGTTAGGGTTTCTACTGCTGTAAAGAGACACCATGACCATAGCAACTCTTATATAAAGGAAAACATTTAATTGGGGCTGGCTTACAGGTCAGAGGTTTAGTGCATTATCATCATGGAGGGAAGCATGGCCGCATGCAGCTAGACACGGTGTGGTGGTTGAAAAGAAAACGACTCCCAAAGGGAGTGGCATTATTAGGAGGTCTGGCCTTGTTGGAGGAAGTGCATCATTGTGGGGGCAGGCTTTGAGGTTTCATATGCTCAGGATACCACCCAGTGTGTCAATCCTGATGCCTGCAAGACATAAGACACTCAGCTACTTCTCCAGCACCATGCCTGCCTGCATGCCACCATGCTCCCTTCCAAGATGGACTGAACCTCTGAACTGTAAGTCACCACAACTAAATGTTTTCCTTTATAAGAGTTGCCATGCTCATCGTGTCTCTTCACGGCAATAGAAACCCTAACTGAGACACATAGGCTGGAGGAGGAGGCAAGGGTTTTATTATCTTGATCTACAGGCAACAGAAGGTGAACTGTTACACTGGGCATGGCTTGAGTATAGATATATAGCCTGCCTCCACAGAGACCACTTTCTCCAACAAGGCCACACCTCCTAATAGAGCCACTCCCTATGGGCCAAGCATTCAAACACATGAGTCTATAGGGGCCATTCCCATTCACACCACCACACCAGCCAAGCCAGGCACGATGGCTCATGCTTCTGATCCCAGCACTCAGGAGGGTAAAGCAGGAGGATCAGGAGTTGATGGTATGAGATACACAGTGAAACTCCGTAACAAAAACAAAAAACAAAAACATATTTTTTCTTTTTAAAATTTTTTCAGGCAATGTATTTTGATCATGTTTTCCCCTCCCCCAATTCCTCCCAGAGGTTTCCCCCTCTACCCACCCAACTTTATATTCTTTTTCTCTCTTCCTCTCTTTAAAACAAACAAAAATAAGAAACACAAAAAAAAAAACCCACAAAAATGGAAATCAAAATAAATAAGCCAAAGGCTGATAAGACAAAAAATACTCAAAGAAAGCAAAATGGGACAGAAAGTCTATAAAAACAACACTGAGTTTATTTGGTGTTAGCCAGCCACCTGGGGGCATGGGGCTGCCCTGCGGTGTGATTAGCATACCCAGTGAGACTCCATGGGAGAAAACTGATTTTTCCTTTGCCATCAGGTACCATCGGCAGACAGGCTCTTGGTTAGGGGTAGGAGATGATGTCCACTTCCCCCCTCAGTGCTGGGACCCTGTCTGACCTGGACCTGTGCAGGCGCTGTATGTACAGCCACAGTCTCTGTTGTGTCTGGAAGACACTGTTTCCTTGGAATCATTCATCACCTTGGGCTCTTACAATCTTCCCAACTCCTCTTCTGCCTCTGCTTCGATCCCTAAACATTGAGGGGAGGGGTTTGATGAAGATAACTCATTTAGAAGTGAGAGGTCCAAAGTCTCCCACTCTCCAGTGTCCAGGGGTGGATACAAAAAAAAACAAAAAACAACCTAACCAAGTACTATGGGCACACTTATCTGCATGAGAAACAGAAATCAGACATGATGTTAACAATAATAATACCCATTAGACCTTAAACACCTTCAACTTAA